TGTCTCCACGTGAGCCGGTAAAATCTGTGCTTTCCGCCTTCACTTAAAATTCTGTCGTTTTAAGGGACACATTTAAGGGATTGACAAAGTAGGAAACTCGATCTGGAAAACACTTACCCGCTCCCACCCCCGTTAATATAACGAACACCGAGATGCTACAGTCAAAACACTGCTGTTCAGGGAGGGAGAAAAATTCTACTTACACGTCCATAACTCATGGATTTGGGAACAAGCAGGAAGCAAAAACTAAAGTAAAAATGGGAGGAAAAAAAAACCCTAAATGATACAGAAAAAATCTCTCTTTATAAGAAATACTTTTCATGTTTAGGTAAAACTGGATGATGAAGGGGCATCCAAGGCAAGGTTTCCTGTATTTCATCTATTAAAAAGAATTCTTAACAAAGCCGATTCTATAAAGGGATACACGGCACGCTAGAACTTCTAAACGGTCCGATTTCCTAGCTCGCTGATGCCTTTCAAAGGGCTTCTGGGTTGGAGCTGGGTGCCATGCATTGGCCTGTTTTTTTTTTTTTTCAGAAAAGTGTAGGTTATTTTCATTACTGGAATCTTCTGTAAAAAAACAAAGAGACCAAACTAAAACAAAACAAATGAGGGGTTGTCTGGCACAGCCCCAGTAAACTCAGTGGCAACGCCTTCGTTTTCAGGAAAAGCAGGCTGCAACCCCACGGGGTGTGAAACCGGCTTAAAGCATCACCTGCGGCCACCGAGCAGCTGCCTTGGCTGGTGCACACAGGTCTGCATGCGACGCACATCTCCGAGAAGCCAGGGGGCAGTGGTTTTTATTGACAGGTATCCTTTCCATATGGGGCTCAAAAACAGATGTTACTAAACTGAGTATTTCTCATCTAAAACCACTGTTATGCTTCTTGGCACACCAGAAAATGCTCTGAACCCAAGAGGTAAAATGCTCTGACCCCAAAACTAGACGGGGATAACAGATGAGGAAGGCCAAGGGTGGTCCCGGCTCGACAGCGTGCCTCCAGGGCGCGGCTGGTCACTGTCACAGCGTCGGTGCTGTGTGGACCCGCTGGGCAACCGCACGGCAGGAGGAGACGTGCCACCCACTGGTGTCTGCAGGGACGTGTCTGACTTCCGGGTTTGAACTGACAGGTCACAGTATCAGGCTGAGTATCTGACAAGATCGGTGAGGGTCCCTTTGATGGCCACAAATTCACCAATTAGACAGCAGGTCTGTAGGTGTTTAATAGCAACCGCTTAAATCTATGTTGCCTTTTCAATGCGGAAAAAAAATCAATCAGTTTTGGTCATGGAATAAACAGATATGAAGTAGTTAAGTCATCTTTGTCATCAAAAAATCTCTCTCCACAAGGTCCGCATAAAGTACTTTATAAACCATGCGGCACTATACAAATTCTAATTATCGTCACACATTTATTCCAAATGAAGCTAAGTGGCTCTTTTTATTTTAAGGATTTAAGAGTCAAAATGTTCCATCACAGTTCAGTTTTAGGGTTCTTTTATATATTAAGGATCTAAACTACTTTGGAAATAAAGGTAGTAATACACACTGCTCCTACCTCAGTATCGAACTAAGCAAATCGCATGGAGGTGCCAGATGCTTCGTGCCCAGAGGACACTGACCAGCTTCGGAAAGCCTCGGCTGGCGGCTTGGCCACAAAGCAGCAAATTCTCGGAAGGGCCTGAGTGAGGGGTGAGCGCCCAGCCTCATGGTGCGCCGGCTCACGGGCCTTAATGGAACCGGACGGATGGTTTCATTCGCTTTTATAAACGGGTCTGTCCTCTTTAGCTTAGCTCTTATTATCAACTTTACCTTTTAAAATATAACCTGAGAAAACTTACCATGTTCTTTTGTCACTTGATTTGATGCTACTATTTTATCAAACTAAAGCATCTTTCCCCCTCGGTGAGTGAATGTACTGGGTTAGGCACTAAGGAATGTTGTAACGATGATTATTTCATAAGACAAGAAAAAAGCTGTCCGTACCTTGGAAGGCCGAGCCACATGACCCAAGATGGGGACCAGTTGGCATCGTACTCGTTTTCGCTGAAGGTGCTGGGCTGCTCGTCGGTGGCCGGGGTGGCCTCCTCCACCACCTGGACCTCCAGTGCTTTAAGAGCAACGGCGGGGGACGCGGCACTGGCCTTCAGCATAGCGACGGCCTCGCTGTGACTCAAGTTGGTCAAGTCAATGCCGTTGATATTTAACAAAATGTCACCTGTTCCAATGACGACACGCGAAAAATGAGCCGAGGGATCAAGTGATTATTTCCCGGTAATTCTACTTGTAAACTAGTCAATAAAAGTTAGTTCCAATGACTCGGATAAGGTAAAAGACCATTATTTACTTCTTTGTAATTTTGATAATACCGAGAACAAAATCCAACGAACGGAAAACATTCCAAAACAATTCAATAATTTTGAATACTTTCATAGTATATAGGAAAAGGGGTGGCTTGAAGTACTGTGATTCGACTGGAGTCGGCGATCGCGGGCCCTGGTTTAGCTGGGTGCGGGCCCTGGTTTAGCTGGGTGCGGGCCCTGGCAAGGTCATTCCCCTTTCTTTGGGCTTCAGTGATTCCTATTGTTCTTTCCAATTCGAAAAGTCTTTGATCCTTTGCTCTTGGAAATGAATTTTTAATCTATTCTGCTTTATCTTTTCCCAGTTTTATATATTAAGACAGCTCTACACCGTTCATTCGATGCAAATATATCAGAATACATGAAGAGAGGATATTTTTGGGCCTACACAGAGAAATGCAAATTGTGATTTGAACATCTTCTCTCGTTGGAGCGAAAAAAAAGTGTTTGTTCCTCTGTCAAGTGATGGAACGAAAAAGGGCAAAGAGGATTAAATAAAAGGTGGGGAGGAAAGGGTTCCTGTGTAGGCAGCACACGCATCTGTACCAAGAAAGCCTACAGAAACTCCCCCTCTCCCGATTTATCGCTTATTTTTCAGATTAAAGCAAAACATTCCCATTGCAGAAAATTTAGAAAACATAATAAATAACAAGGAAATAAAATCATCCTCGATTCGACATCTGGACAAATAACTTTGAAAAAAAGGCCGATTTATGAAGATATAATTCATTCAGTTCATTCATTTAAAGTTATAATTTTATGGTTTTTAATACAGTCACGGAGTTGTGCGACCATCACACCTCATTGTTAGATCACCCCCCAAAACTGCAGCCATCAGCAGTCACTTTCCCTCCCCCGGTCCTAAGCAATCACTAAGCTCCTTTCTCTCTCTGTAGATTTGCCTCATGTGGGCACTTCATATAAATGGAACCATATGTGGTCTTTTGTGACTGGCTTCTTTCTGTAGGCATAATGTTTTCAAGGCTCATCTATAGTGTAGCTTGTGTCAGTACTTCATTCCTTTTCATTGCCAAATAATATTCCATACCACAACATGCCACACTCTGCTGATCCTCATTCGGTAGCTGACATTTGGGTTGTTTCTGTTTTTTGGTTATTATGAAAATTACTACTATGAACCTTAACGCACAAGTTTTTGTGTGGCGATTATGTTTTAATTTCTGCTCGTTCTTCTTCTTAAAGAAGTCCCTTTAGCGCGGGGACCGCAGGTCGCGGGGTCTGGGCGGGGCGCACGCACCGCGCGTCCACCGCACCGCGCTGCCCGGGAGACCTGCTGGCGTCAGTTTCCATATTCTTTACGTTTACAAATGTGAGTCGACCTCAGGGAGAAGAGGTGGCGACTGTTCAAGAGCCTCTCTTACCTCTCTTGATCCTGCCGTCGCGCGCAAGGCAGCCGTGAGGGGGCACGCTGGTCACAAAGATGGGCAGCTCACCACTCCTGCCGCCCCGGCCGCCAGCCACTGTCATCCCCAGGGACTCGCTTGGCGCCTTCTTCACGGTGATGTGCTTCTCTTGGCACGTAACACACTGGGTAAGATCCTAAATCGCCAGAGGAGACATTTATTGCACGGATTCACTGGGATGAGAGACACGCGGTGAAGAAAGCTTCCGCTAAAGTAGACGTACGTGGCGATTAGAAGTCATTTTTATCTTTAAATCACTTACTATAGAACTGAAAGTGATACACAGTTCCTCAAAATACAAACAGGACGCTAACCACTGTGGGTCACAATGTCAAGCTCTGAACCACTGCCTTTGCTGGGACTATTTATGGAACTGAAACATCAGGGCTGTGGACACGGGAGGTCAAGGCAGTGTGTAATTATCTTGCGATCCAAGATATGATCAAGATATAATAATGCATCTAAGATTCTGAAAACAAGCCAATTAATTTTCTTCCATCTTTCTCCCTAGTCTCCAACAGTACAAAAGTAAAATGTGGATTTTGCTAACTGCTAGAAAAAACCTACAGACCTACCTTCTGATTCTGCCTGACAAGGATTATCCGAATACCCAATCATGAAGCGAGTGCACATCTACATTTAAAACCTCCATGAGAAGCTAAAAGGATAAGAAATAACTGAATTTTTGAAGACGTTAATGACAGAAAAATAAATTCCCAATAAACTATATTCTCAGGGAAAAGCATTTTTTACTGACATTTATTACTGCTACTTATTACTGAGACACTTCTGGAAGTAAAAAAAAAAAGATTTACAACATCACTTTCCTTCTGAATTAGAATTCAATAAGAAACAAGGTGTATATATCCGATATTAACATTAAAATAGCAATAACATTTATTGAGGGCTTATTATGTCCAAAGCTAATGGCTTTACATGCATTATTTCATCTTCACAATGTCCCTGAAAGTAAATACTATTATTGGCCCCGTTTACAGATGTGGAAGCAATCTTAGGTCATATAACTTGCCCCAAATCATGCAACTATAAGTGAGATCTGCACTCGGGTGACTTAAAATATAGTGGCAGCTAATGTCTCAAAAAGTTTTTAACACTTATCAACTATAAGAGAATGTTGCAGATAATGAGAAAATTACATTAACATTAACAACAACGTATGAACTACATTTGCAGAACTAGAACGTTCCCTTTAGAGGCATAATGTTAAAGAGCCGACACGCTAATCTGACCCTGGATCCCCAGGCCCAATGGCCTTCCTCCTGTCCCAGAATGCACGGACGCTCGAATCTCTATCAAGCGACCTGCCTGTCCTAACGGCAGAGCGTTCCGAGACAATGTCATGGCTAGCGGAAAACTTGTAAACGTCTTAAGGCAGTCTCCTACCTAAAAGTACGAAATCTATGTTAGTATCCTTCAAAACTGGGCAAAACCCATTTCATTTTCAAGACAACTCGAGGAAACTCAGCCTTGATTATATTTACTGAAGCAGTTTCAGCTCTCAGGTAGTTCATCAATTAATGGTGGTGGTTTTACTCCTCCGATGGTTGAGATGTACGCATTACTTCCAAGATGATACTGGGTAAGCTTCATGGAAACTTCTAAGGGTGTTTATCCAAGCAACTACCTAAGAGGCTTAGCAGTAGACTAATGTTCACTTTAACAGTGATTCTAATCATTTGAACAGGTTGTTTTGGTGAATCTGTGTGTTTGTTTTTCCCTAGGAAACCTTCACCTTTTCTAAATCAGAATTTGACATAACAAATGCAGGACTAAATAGCTAAATTAACACTTAAAAGTACATTTCATGTGGTTGCTTTTACCAACCAGGTTTACACAATATTACCTAGAAGAGCAATAAATTCAGCATTGCTATTTAAAACATCGCCACATAAAGAGAATAAGATTAGCAGAATTAAAAGAGAAAAATATATGTGCTCGAAACAAAATGAAATAAGCAGTGTTCTCCATACAAATGTTAAAATGATTAAGTAGTTTTTAAAACGGTCTTAAAATTACGTCGTAGACACCCGTATCTCAAATTATTGTAGAATTCAATAACGTAAAAGATTCAATAATCGACTTTGGCCTTATACTACAATTCTTTAGAAATATGTATCTTGTAAAACAAGGCCAAGCTATGTGAAAAAACTCCCACTCGAAAGTCCTATTCGAAACACTAACTCCTTGTTCATAGTCATCATTATAAAGGCAAAATTATAGGTTTCTTTCATACATCTTGGTTTTTGTTCACAAATGAGAACAAAGTCTGTGGTTATAATTTCTTCTAAGTATTAACTAAACTGAAGACCAGTGACAAGTCTGTACTTAAGCTCAGAAAACCAGATAAACCTGATGGGCCCAAAATACTGTGTCTTTAAGCAATGCTTCCTTAGGGTACCTGTGACATTCCAACGGTGATTACTTTCTCAAAAACAAACTGTACTTACATTAAGAAGCCATTTTAGCACATAGGAAACTTCTATGGTTTATAAGACCAATAAATCTTTTTTTGTTTAACAAAGCAATCGAATTTTACCGAAGGAAAATGACTTTGGAAGCTCCCATTTAGCTTATATTTTCACATAGTTGGGTAAACATCATTGTTTAAAAAATCTGGCCTACTAGAAACCGAGTTCAAGTGAAGGATCGAATGAAGTAAATAATAAAGAATGTGGTAAAGTACCACTCTGTTTTGGTTTCTGCAGCTAAAGTTAGTAACAAAATTCTCAGTGCAGATAAATGTCATAGGAATAAATTAGAAAACTGAAATACTGAAGAAGCTGTGAAAAAGCCCAACATATGGGAATTTTAACTGATTTAGGGTGGTATTCCTATAACTTATACTATACGAAGAAATACGCTATACAAGTACCAATGAAAATTTATGATTCATATGTTTAATAATCACATATCTAATTGTCTTGTCGTGGGCAACCAGCCCAACTGCTAAATACAGACTTACTGATCATTGTCTTAATTCTGCTTTTTCGATCTTATAACCGAGTGTCGCATTTAAAGGAGCAACCCGAGATAAATCTCACTTTCGAGCAGGACTAAACAAATAGATTTTTCTGGAAGGCCAACCACTTCTCATCAATCACCTGGCAGGAGGACCGTCCCCACTAAAGATGCAAAACATACACATTTCATACCCCCAACACCCGTGTTCACCTTCTCCAACAGAATAACAGCCCTCATTTAAACTTTATCGGATTGTAATAATGGCCCTTTGAGAGCGGATTAATTCAAAACACACGAGCAATACACCTCACCTTGTGTGAGCTGGGTCTGCTGTAATACAGAGGCTGTGCAGGGTGCTGCTGGCTGCTGCTCTGAGTTCCTGCTTCTCGGATGGGGTTTCCAGGCTGGGGTTTCCTTGGTCTAGCAACTGTTAAATCCACCCTTTCTCCACTAGCCTGGAGAAAACACGCACACGTTACCACTGGTCACTTATGATACTCACTGTAAAAATCACAGGCGGTATAACGTCTGATGCACTAACGATGCCCAGAGCCTCGCCTGGGCGTTGGCTACAATGGTGGAAAGGAGGGGCCTTCATTTCGCGGGTCAGTGTTTTAGAACTTCTGCAGCTGAAACACACACGCAGCTCTAGGACATGCCCTCCCCAACGCCACCTCCAAAATGACTGAGACAGAGCAGTCCGATTGCCCGGGCCCTCATCTCCCCATGATTTCTTGAAGGGTAACTTTGAATGCTTCTTTGCGCCCTTCAAGATTGGTCCTGGTGTGGAGAGGGAGAGAGCAGAGGAAAGAAGACAGAAAGGAAGAACAGATTCGAAACTTGATTAAAATCTATTATGACTTTTGAAATAAGTTCTGTGCTGGCTACTCTGGAAGCAATAATCAATGAAACTACGCACGCTTTGTCTCTGCTTGCTGTTAAGTTTGAGTCAAAATAGGACATCGGTTTAAATGGTCCTGAAGAAAATGATTATGGAGGTCCTGTGTAACAAGATTAATATTTATATATATATTGTGCGTATCTCTCTCACACACACACACGTCCTAAAGTATTACAGTAAATTATTTTAGATGTTTAGGACTATCATTTTAACAGAAGTCCATTATTTATATACACATCTAGATTTTAAACACAGATTCACAGCTAGTATATTTTAAAAATACTTTACCTTACTTAATATCTACTCTGAGTTATTTTACCTTTGCTTTTACTGGACAGGCCTGATTTATTTGATGCTGACTTTTGGTAGGACCACCGTTTCCAATTTTATTATTATTCCTCTGGGAAAATACGACAACCTGCTTTCCAGGAATTACGGTAGGAAGAAGGGGACTCCCCCACGACCGCTGTCGATAATGTCACGAAATCACTCCATTTTTAGTTCTTAAATAGGAAAATAAGTGAACCAATTTTAAGGCCTTTCTTATTGAAATCATCTGCTTATTCAAGCATTTTATTAAATAGTTTCAGACAAGTTCTTGGAAAAAAACTAAAAGAACAACAGCCAATATATGGCCAGATTTCCAAGACAGGGTGTGGGAACTTGATCTATAGGGTAAATAACACAGTAGGATATTTAAAATCCTGGTATTTACGATTCTGACACTTCAGATTATTAGATCACACAGTGAAGTGGCAAGATGCTCCCTTTGTGACTTTATTTAAATGTACAGGATCATTTTCATTACTGCTTCATACCTCTTAACCACCAAATACTCCATAATCAGTCTTTCAACTTTACTGGAAAACCCATTTACACAAACCTTAACCAGAAACCAATCCTTGACTTTTCGAGATTGCTTAAGAGACAAAATCCTGTGCGTGGGATGCAAGTAGGCATTTAGGCTTTAAATGATGGCTTTAGGTTAACTTTAAACAGACTGCACATATAATGCTTCAGGGTTTCAAACACAGCAGAAGAGTTTTGTTAAAGTCAATATTTTTTTAAACGCGGGATGCCCAAACGATGATACCCGTAATTCATAAATAAGGAGCGTGCCTTGTTGCTGGGAGTAGAAATGGGTACGGTCTGATCTTTCTGGAGGGAAGTTCAGTAGTATTTTTTAAACTTGGAAACAAAACATAAGTTAGAGTACACAGATGCCTACTACGGAGCTATGAGAGATCATGATGTGAATGTATACTTATCTGCATGGCAAGAAGTCTGACAAGACACAGCCGAGATTGGGAAAAAGTTACACATTCAGAATTTACAAGATGAGTGCATGTGTTAGGTACGTGTGCAAACCTCTTCCTATTTATCTGTGGACATACACATAAAAACGTTTGTAAGGATGTTCTCCAAAATATAAATGTTGACATCCTGGGGTATTTATAGTGAAAGTGATTCTGACTTCTTTATTTTCTGCATTTTATCTTCACGATTCTCCTTTTAAGACGTGGAGTACATGTTATTTTTATAATCCAAAACAATAACTCTCGTTTTTGAAAATTGAGCAACTTCAGTTTTCTATAGTTTGGGAAAAATTATAGCCCCAAATATGACACAACTATTTAACTAGCTGGATTATAAAAACTCAAATATGCAAGATATTATCATGAAAACTTTTAAATGTACTTTCTACCTGCGTATCTACATATTCTACATTTTGTTAGAAATTTAGTAAAGATATTTACTTAGGAATTAAGAGTATTTTAACACCGCCTGAAATATGTACAGTCAATCTACTTCTTTCCAGCTCACTGACCCGATGACTTCTCAGCTCATTAAGTCCGCTCAACTCTCCCGTTTCCTGTAGCAAATCCCACAACTGGATGAACTTCCTTCTCCGGCCCCCGCCCCTCCCACCGATCCGACTCTTACAGGATAAACTTGGTTTTAGGGTGCAGCAGCTGGCCGGTGTCCACAGGTAATGGCCCGAACGCTACCTCTGATGTCAAAGAATTTTGCGGCATCCAATTTCTTTAAACCTCAAACCTATGAACTGAGACCCAATAACTGAATGTCCTCTCAGTGCGACATGGCTGTGTGTGTGCGTGTGTGTGTGCGTGCGTGCGCGTGCGTGTTCTCAATGCTATGGGGGACCAAAAAGTTAAAAAATAGAAGTAGAAGGGGACCGAGACTTGGGTTTTCTTATAGCTTTACATTTTCATTGTCACTGGATTCTGTATAGTACATACATTTTTTAGTGACGATCGACCTAAATTCCTGATGCTTAATTACATTAATGCTTGGTTTCCTTTATAGTGTTTTGTTGTGCTCACTTAGAAAAAACACACGACATTTTTGTTTCCGCCCACACTGGGTTATAAGCCGTGGCGTGTGCTAGAACCTGAGGGTCTTCTCGGGATGGTTTTCTAATTGCTCCGTTTTAATGCTCTTACTGAAAAGATCGTTGTCTAATAACTGTCCTCACTTCACGGGGTTACGGGGAGGACAAATGTCATGATGGGTTTCAAATACCGTGAATTTCTTAAAAGGAAAAAAAAGGCACCGTAGAGATAACAGTTATCTTCTTAATAAAAGGTGACTTTCCCTATTGTTATGGATCCCGAAGTGAAGAAGGAAAGTTAAGAGACCGGGAAGGTCACGGCCTTGGTATTCACGGCTCCCGTTCTCACTTGTTAAATGTGGACACCCCCATCTGTTCTGTCGGGTAGTAGATGGAGCCTCGGGAGCAAACGAGAAAGGCATGTGATGCTACAGAGCCTTTCCTCCATAAACAGCCGGCCTCAAGTTCACGGAACACAGTGTTTAGAAAACACTACCTGTCAAGAAGTTGCACTACTGTGGATTCTGAAGAATGGACATAGCCGTGCCTGATTTTCCAACGAAATACCAAGTATCTCCTGGATCATGTTACTGGCCAAAGGGAAACGAACACCGACATAGGGTAAAGAAGGCCAAGAAGCGTCTGGAATGACGTCTGAAGGGTTCACCTGAATGACCTGCGCGGCCAGCTCGGGGGTCCCGTGCTTCAGGTCATGGCCGTTGATGGCGAGCACGCGGTCGCTGCTGCTGAGCCTCCCGTCCTGGGCGGCCAGCCCCCCTTCCAACAGGTCGAGAATGAAAACGCCTGGCTCATCCGTCCTTCGCACGAGTTTGATGCCCAGCTGTTCTCCGGAGTCCCGCTTGTGAAGGACCACGTGGAAGATCTCTTCTCGGGGGGAGCTCCCTTCCGAATGGCTGTAGGCCCGGCTGCCGAAGCGCCGCTCGCGAAGCACGGTGAGCTGCAGCGTGCTGCAGGGCTGCGACAGAGCAGCTCGGGCGTAGTTGTGGGACACGTTGCTGATGTCGCAGTTGTTGACCTGGACAAAAGAATCATGACCAAAGGGTGACGATCTTTTTTTCATCTTCCCGTTTGTAGAAACGCGTACACACGATGTCTCCCAAAGAAACTAACCTCGTGAAAATGCTATGCGATCATCATTTACAAAGGAAACCACTCTAAAGACAACTTTAAATACAGAGTTCCTAAAATTAACTTACGATGACTAGTATTAAGTAGAGAATTAGGAGCACAAGCTTCAATGACAGTCTTGAATTTGCGTCCTTGGTTCTGCCCGGTACTAGCTGAATGACCTCAGGCAAACGACAGACCTCGTTCGAATGTTTCCTGCAAAATGTGTCACTACTGACTTCATAGATTGGGACAGGAATGAGCAGACAACATCGGCCTGTGAGGAGCGCTAATGAAATGTTAGCTCTCGTGGAACAGAAACCGAAGTTCTGCCGGATTATGGATTTGCTTTCCCAACTGAAAGGGACTTAAGCTAGAGAAAATAAACCGAGTTTTAGTTTAAGGAAGGTGACATACTCCAGGTACATCACCTCACTTTAGATCAGTGATTTTTACTTTAACGAAGGCAGATAATCATAATGTCATTCTCATTCTTTAGCAAACAAGTATAATATGTACCTAATACAATAAACGCAATTCAGTACTCACAGAACACTTATGAACTAAACTATACCTTGAAATAAGTAGGGATGGGTCTTTGGACATGTCACATCGCTAAGAAAACACACCCAGCTTCGGTTATTCAGCAAGTTAGAGGAAGAGATTCGCACGATTCTTAGTATTTATCACAAGCAGAGTTCTCTTCAACCGTCTGGGATGAAAGCGAAGGGGAACGAGCGTTCTCTACACGTCGGTTCTGGGTCAGGTGTTTGTGATGCCCCAAATTCTTGCATTTGTTCACGCGAATCTCTGTCAAGCAAGGCCTCCCCCTCCTATTTATCTAGGGCTGTTAGTCTAAAACACCACTAATTTGAATTTTGTTGATTTGGGCCTGTTGACATCTTTTTAAAACCTAGTCATCGAATTCATAGATGTCACACACAAACGTGCCCTCCTCCCAAGTTTGCGACATCTATGCATTTGGCAGCCACCCAGGTCCTTGATAAGATGCTGAATAACGTAGAGTCAAGAAAAGAACTTCAAGGCAGCTTCTAAAAACCCAGCCTGACATGAATTCGTTAGCTAATAACCATCATTTCTAGCTATTCAGCTAAAAAGCTTCCTATCTCTAGGCTCACGTTTTTCTACCTTAAATTCAAAAATATCACAAATGACTCTGTGAAACATCTGGCTGGAATCCAGATACAGCCACGTGCAAATATGTAACCTCATGTCATTTGCGTGAAGTAGGATATGAAACATTGGACGATTAGAAAAAGATTTTTCCTTCACGAATGTGTGGTTGCCAGTGAAATTCAGAGAAAGTAGAGACCAAATAAAATACTGCTTCTAGATTTTGTAGAAATCGCATCAGCTAACACTATCACATTTTTGGCTACATAGATTTTTGTACCGATGCAGTCAACACACGCCTGTAATTATTTTCCTTCAGAATCAAAATGCCTAGATCACTGTCGACTCAGATCAAATTGAAAATACCTATCCTTAATAATGCTCTAAAAGTCTTATTATTTCTAACAGTGATATTGATGCAATTCTTAACAATAAGTTTTTTCTTCAAAGTTCTCACAAGGCTGTCACTGGGAACGACCATAAATACTTCCCCACATCTGAGTTCCCAGAAGACATCTTTTCTCACACGCGAATATTCTCTCCCCTTTTAGAAGCTACCCATTCTTTTAGCTTCAATGATCATCCACTCTTGTATGATTCAAAGATCGAGGCCAGTATTCACATAGCTCAAGTCCTACATGGTACAACTTTTGGCACCCTCATCCCCTCAGTATCCACGGGCCCTCTCATAAAACGGCATGTCGTCCCAAGCTAGTTCTTTTTTTGGGAATAGCTATTTCTTCTTAAAGAAGAAGGTGAGCGTCCCATCAGGGGTTAATGAAGAGCCGGATTGTTCGCGGAGGAGACTGCATGATGAGCCAACGAGAGATGGCCGTGAATTCTACCTTAAAATCTGTGACATTAAATTATAAGTAACTAGTGCGACTCAGTCTGTCTTTTCTAGATTTTAGTAATCGGTGTAGAGAAGGATAAGTCAATGACGGTAACAGATATGGGCAGTAAAAGTGGGCTACGGATAACGCCGATGGGGTAAGAATGTCAGCGTGGCTCTGACACAGCCAACCGTGGGGTCCCAGACAGGAAGTCTCGCTGGCCCAATGAGCCCAAGCGCCCTGTGCTGAGTCCGCGTGGGACTGAGTTAAGCTAGGGAGAAGAAAAGAATACATTCCACGTGTATGGGGAAAGAGGAGAAATTACAGATAAATTCTGATCTGCTCTGCAGATAAAGACAGCAAAACTGACCTTTATATAATTCAGGATCTGCAGTCGCACGATTTTCTGAGTTTTAAGTTTATGAATAAGAACAAAAGGGAGCCAGTTAATAGAATTCAAGTTGCTACCTGAAGGATCTGGTCTCCAGCAAGAAGTCTTCCATCCCTGGCGATGACCCCGTCCCGGTAGACTTCCTGGATTACGATGTTTATCAGTGGCGTTTCGTTACCACCCACGATGCTAATTCCCAACTGAATATAAGGGTTGGAGCGGTGGATTTCAATTGTGGTGATTTCCCCTTCTGGTAAACTAGGTGGCTGCTGTGTGGCTGCCGAGATAAAAATGAGAGAGAGAACGATAGACGGAAAGAAAATCGATATTTTAGATTTCGATGTTCTGCAGGTAAATAAGTCATCTTGTGTTAATAAGTTATTAAGATGATTAATAACTAAGTAACATCACTGGAAAAGAAAAAGAGAATGATGAGAAATATCTGTCTGTTAAGATTATCTAAACGTTTCCTCTTCTGGAGGTGATTAATCAATAATCGACAAATAGCTACTATGTATCAGATCACTGGGGACGACATAATGATCTGATAAAGACATGTTAAGAGAATGTCACCTTGTCCTAACGGATAAAAGTCTGAATCACGGAACAAATGCCAACACTGCACGGCGGCACAGAGGAGAGTGTCACTGCCGTGTGTGTCATCACGGTCAGCGCATCGAGCTCTAAGTAGTGGGTCTTGAGCTTTAGGGGATGAAAAATAGTTATAGCTGTGACAATTTGAAATTTGTAGTAAAATTTGGACTTTGTAAGACAAAGTCATATTGAAAAGTAAACACCCAGGGCCAGCTCGTGAAATGGGTCCCAGATCTAGGACTGCGGGCTTCGTGTTTGTCCCTAGTGGGGCGTCCAGTCAGACTGGCGGCCACCAGAGGATGCAAGAGTCGGAAGCGTGGCCTCGGACGCAGACACACAACCAGTGCTTTCCCGGCTGTACAAGTGGGACCGGCTACTCTAAGACTCAGTTTTCGACCCATAGAAAAAAAACAACTCATAATATGGTCACAAGCGTTTCATCGGTTACTACATGTCACGCACTTGGCCCAGAGCCTGACACAGAGTAAGCACTAAATCTGAGGGGTCACTGTTGTTCTTGATAGTACTGATTTCTCAGTCAAGAAGCAACACATCTGTGAACACACGAGAAGCACGTTAATGACAGAGAGATCACGGACTGCGACAGAAGAGGGTGCGGAGGGGTCGCCTCCCCCCGGGGGTGAGGGTCACACCCTGTTTCTAAAATGCAAACTGTTAGGATTGCGAATATGGTGAATTAGGTGGCATGTGAATTGTATCTCAGTAAAAAGCACATGCTGAGAAAACGGTGGGGAGCAGCAGGAAGGAAGCGTCCGATGTGGGAACAGAGGTGACAAACAAAAGAGAGAGAGGTGAGCAGCACACACCGTCGGCAATGACGCTCTCCTCGAAGGCGGGGTTGTCCAGGCCGGGCGCCTCGGTCCACGCGGGCAGGGACGCCGAGGTCGGGGTCCGCTCGGCTGGCACCGTGCCCGCCCCCGAGCAGTCCGTCTCCGGTGAGAAGGTCCCCGGGAGATCTATTAGAGTGCTTCCGTTTTCATTCTCAATCTCCGGCTGAGTTTTATTAGTTTTCCTTCTCTCCAGGGCATCTCTGCGCTCGGAAGCTCCAGGACATCTAGAAAGAGAGCATCAGGCGGTTTCTAGATGGTTTGAAAGGAAGAAAGTGACATATAGCTTGTACCACGAGCAAAGGATGGCAGTGGCTTCTGTGCAGAGAGCACCCGGAGGAACCCACGAGCAATGTGTAATTCTGAGCTTACTCTCCACGCGAGCTAAAAAGTCTTACCACTCCACACGGCAGCTTCGAAATAAGACGTCGGCACAGATGATGGTTTGGTATACAGCTCCAAGAACACTTCAGCGAAATATACGCACAGGGGTGTCAAAGCTGTGAGAACTACTCTGAAATTCTGATGACATAACTGTTTTTTCCAGGTTACATGGCTTAATCACAAGAGTGGCAGTCAGGTCTTCTTCCTGAACAAGCCCTGTGCCCTGACTTGGACGATGAGTGCCACTCTGCCTCCCACGGCCAAGGTCACCTATGTACTCATCAGTGGGGGGCAATACGTGGGAAAGCAAGGCAAAGCCCCAAATAACGTTCCGATGGACACGGAAGGAGATTCAAAAACATACGTCTCCTAGTTTGCGAAATCAGAGTTGAAGAGACGCTGGGTGAGCTGAAGAATATATTCCAAGTCCTTGGGAAACTTAGGCAAGTACCAAGGAACAACGCCTGTTAATCTGCTCGTTTTTACTTATCTAAGCAAACAAGAAAGGCAGACAGATGCTTGTTTAAACATGGAAACAAAGGTTTTATATCAGCAATGACGTCGAAGTGCCAGTTCTTTGCCATCTGACACTTCGACGCTCGACACAGTTCCCACAGGGGCCTGACGAATAATTCCGAAAACTATCACTGGAAAAATTATGTTTGTCTAGTAAGCACATTTAATTAGAAATGTTTTTAAAATGTCTTATTCAGTCGAAAATTTGAGACAAAAAGTGGATCATAAAAATATTCGTGCCTAAAAAGGTGAAGATTAAATTCCCAAAATATATGTCATACACAAATACATGAGCAATGGCTGGTCTTCAATGGAAAACACGGACTAGGAATAGGAAATAAAGAGGAAAAGGAACAGAATGTGAACACCTGGGAATTAGCCTGGCGAACAACTGAAAAATCCTACAAACTAAATCACTACAAAGCTCATGTTGTAATCGTTAAACGTGCAAAAGCAAATGTCGAAAAGAAAACAGCCAGTTGTTAGGTAAAGAAACACACATCCTTAAATTCCCAATGGGACAGCAAATTGCTAACAGGAACTAAATAAAGCTATTTAAAAACGATATCATGCGAAAATATGAAAGAATGACCTTAGCCAGCGTTAAAGGTCACCCATATTTAAACAAGATGGACCAGCTGAGTAGGCTGAGATAGAATGACTCGACAAGAGGAGACGAGGAGAGAAAGACTTCAAAGTAACCAAGGGAGACAAGAGTGTCACTGAAGAAAACGCGGCTGATGCCACCCACACAAGGGGAAAACGAGGACCGAAAAGCGTTAGTTCCACTAGACAATGAAAAGGTCATGGTGACCTCAGAGAGGATACTTTTGGTGATGAGGGCAAAAGCCTGACTGTATACCAGCATTTCTGCTAATGTAATACACCCATCGACAAAAATTGCTCAAAACACTAAAAATTACAGGGCTCGGGGGAAAGAGAGGCTTGGGAAAGCCCATTCGAAACCCGTGCGTCCGGTAATGGGAAATGGCTGCTAATGGGAATGGGGTTTCTTTTGGGGGTGTTGAAAACGTTCTGAAAATGAGAGTGTGATGATGGTCGCATACTTCTGTGAACATACTAAAAATCGCTAAAG